GGACAAGCATCCGGGAGATGAGTCAAGAATTCACGAACCCTGTCGACGTTTTCGTCAGTTTTTGACGTCGAAGGCCTCCCTGCGCGTCGTTCGTCTTCGGCGTCCTCCCGGCCGTCCTTGAACGCCTTGTGCAACTCATAAATTTGTGTCCGGGACAGAACATCATCTCCGAAGGCTTCCTTAAGCAGGTCCTGGGTCTGGGTAAAAGTCTTTTTTAGTTTCACGCAAAACTTGATTGCGTAACGCTGGTCAATCGTACGTTGCATTTTCACCACTCGAAAAACGTAACCGACTGCAAAAACTTCGCGCGGAGGGCGATGTTTACTCAACCGCTGCTCACAGCGCATTGACCCGGGTCGTGCCTGAAAGAGCAAGGTCGGACACATATTTCCCCCCCCCCCCACTCATTTTTTTGGACGCCAGGGGTCCTATTCTGTAACTGCTTAACGCATACGTTATGATTATAACGCATGCGTTAGAAGGCTTATAACGCATGCTTTATGATTTCGTATTCTGTAAATGGGTCTTAACGTATGATGTGTTAACGGTGCTTTAAGCAAGCGTTATACTTGCGTTATTCTGAATATCACTAGGAAATCTTATTCTGTAATACACTTTAACGCGATTTATAACGCATTTTCTTACGTTATGTAAAGAAACTGTAACGCGACTTGGTGAACAGCGTTAGACTTCACAACACATCGTACAATTGTACAAGTTGTTGACAGCTAGATTATAGTTCTATTTTATAATCAATAATGGCTGCTGCTGCTGCTGCTATGATATTGGTGGACCTATTAGAAATGGTAGAAGAAGAGGAGATAATGAGAGAAACTGCTATGATAATGAAAACGTTGAGAAGTACTATACATCCTTTCGACTTGACAGATGAGCAATTTGTAAAAGTCTTTCGCTTGTCAAAAGAAGCAGTGCATTATTTATGTGATGCTCTTCAAGAAACCCTGCAGCGTAGACGAAGAACAGGATTAAGTGTAGAAACTCAGGTGATTACGTGCATTGCAAATATAATATATTTTATAGCATCGTGATTAAAGTATCTTAGTGCAATTAACACAAAGACTGTAATGGTTATAGATTTTTACTGCATTGCAGTTTTTTGCTACCGGTTCCTATCAGGAATGTGTTGGAAATGATTATTTGGCGTCAGTGTCACAACCTGCTGTTAGTCGAGCAATTAAAGCAGTTGCAGTTAGTATTACTGAATTACTTACTCATCAATGGATTCAGTTCCCAAGAACCGAGGAAAAACGAGCAGCTTTAAAAAGACGGTAATTTCGTAATTATAATGTTTTAATTAATTTTACTATAATTATTAGTCTTGTTTACGGGATGACTTGATATATATTCCATAACATTGAGATACAATGTTACTGCTAGTTTGCATTTACTGAGTATATTGCATGTGATATACTCGTTGTAAAATACCTAATATTCTTACAGCTTTCAAGAAGCAAGACAGTTTAAAGGAGTTATCGATTGTACTCACGTTGCTATTGTGAAACCGAGTATTCATGAGGAAGTGTATTCAAATCATAAGGGTTTTCATTCCATCAATGTGCAAGCGGTAAGTTAACAATAAATTGCAATATTGTTTTTGTTAATGCATATATTGCGCTACATACGATCAAATATAATTAATGTGTACTAATATTTGTTACAAGGTGTCCTCGCATGATTTAGAAATATTGAGTTTAAATGCCAGATTCCCGGGAACAGTACATGATAGTTTTATATGGAGACATTCAGCTGTGAGAAACGAAATGATACGTTTGTATGAATCTGGAGATCAAGCAACATGGCTTTTGGGTTAGTATTATGATTGCAGTTTTGTATACATTATTGGCAATTACTGAATGGTGTTTTAAGATATTTATAAATTAATTGGTGACTACAGGCGATTCAGGATATGGTCTCGAACCGTGGCTTATGACACCCATAACACCCATAATGCACCCGAAGGAAGCGCAGAACTCAGAAGCACGATATACACTATGTCACACCGCAACCAGAAATTGTGTGGAAAGGATGTTTGGAGTATTAAAATGTGTATGGAGATGTCTTCTACAACACCGTGTGCTGCATTATAAACCTCTCATCATATATAATAACAGCATGTGCTGTTCTACACAATATACGACTCCGCTATAACATCACGGATCTGGCATTCGATATTGATGAAGAGGATGAAGCTGAACCTTTGCAAATAAACTTACAACCACATAATCTTGAAGCGCGTGATCGTATTAGAATGCAAGCAGCAGAAATAATCGGAGCAGATGAAGCACAGTTAAATCCTGGTGATAAATTAAGAGAGGCAAAACAAATACAAAGAAGAATACTTCGTACTCAATTTGACTTATTG